TACAATTATCAAAAATCATAACATTTTAAATTAAAATTAGAACATAATTCAATTCTTATTGATAATACTAACAAATGCTACCAAGGATAAATAGTAACAAGCACTTCATTAAATATTTAAAAGATTTACTAATTTAGAATGTCTTTTAACAAATCTTTTGTAAATAACATGCTATATTTTGGACTGATATCTTCAAATGATAAAGACACTAAATCTCTTAAAGATATAGAGCAAGGATTTACATTTTCTAATCTTAGCAATAAGAAACCAAGTCTCATATTTGGACCAGGATTTTAAGAAGAAAACATAAAAATAGAAGTAAGAGTAAATCTAAAAAATGGTACTATGCATATCTTCTAATATCCTGAATACTCAAGCATATATGTTTAGAGTTTAGAAAATATTAGGGAACAATAAAATATTCACTTTGGTATTTAATATTAAACTGAGTAATAATTTAAAATAAAGCTATTTGACAATTAAATACTCGAAATATGACTAACATGAAAACAACAAAGTAAATAAATATGTTTCGTATTTATCAATAGAATTAGTTAATTAATTAATTAATTAATTAAAAGTATATCATTATAACAAAAATATATCTTATATATTCAAATACTGTAAGTTTTTCTGTGATAATAAGTAAATATTTCTCTAAATTTTTTAATAAGACTTTAAATTATTCTAAATACTTTATATATTTTTCTTTAAATAATAATAATAAGATAGATTTTCTAAATAAATTGCTAAGAATAATTAACCTTTACAAAACAAAAAATACAAAATTGTTCTAAATACTTTAAATAATTTTCTTTCAATTATAATAATAATAAAATAGATTTTTTAAATAAATTATCAAGAATACATATTCTATTTATTATTGAAATTATTAACTTCTTTCCCTAAAAACTTATTCATTTTAAAAATTTTATAAATTAAAACTTCATACTAAAAATCAATATTAGAGCTTATTACTTACTTACTTATTTACTTGAAAGGTTTTCTAAATTATTTACATTTTTTTAAGCTTCTACAAAATGTAAATATTAGTTAGTTAGTTAGAATAATTTATAAAAAATATCTTTGAATTAATCTTACTTTTTTTTTTAATTTAACTTTTACAAAACAAAAAATACAAAAATTAAAAAATAAATTAGTTTTATTCAATTAAAAATATCAAATTCATCATCTTCATCTTTGTAGCGATTTTAAGTTTTAGGTGCTGGTTTTGATACGGGTTTTGAATCAGGAATTTCTTCTTCTTCAATTGGTTAATTAATTACTCTTTAAGTAATTTTCTAAAGCTCAGCAACTATTTATTATGGTGGTAAAGCTACAGTGGGAATGGGCTTGGGTTAATTTTATAAAACATTATTTATTTCTGGCTAAGAATTTCTTCTCACAACAGGATTTGGTGCTTTGAATTATTATTACTGAGGTTATTTCTATGGATTGTTTTGCTAAGATATTGGAACTTTGACTTCATTTTACTATGCTTTTTTAGATTCTTCATCTTCTTCTTCTGGGTCTGAGTCATCAAACTAGAGGTTACCAGTTCTAAGTTCTTCTTCGCTGCTACTACTGCTATCTTTTCTGTTC